CCTTTCATCACCTTCCCCAGCCTGAATCTCATAAAATGTTTTGTGCCAGTCTCAGCAACTTGGCCTTAAAACCTGTTTGCACAAGAAAGCCAACCTTCTTGGTAGATTTTCTTTTTTTTTGAGCGTGTTACTCCACTGAGTGCAGGGACTGAGTTTTCATTAGGAGCTCTAAAGCCTTTTGTCACTTTGTTAATGCTGGATTGAGTTAGGAATCACCTGCAGCTGGTAACGGGTGTTTTGCAGCTGTTTAAGGCTATTACAGGTCACTCTGCTGTCTCTTGGACAAAGCTGCCCTGCTCTGACAGTGGAAAAAAGCAGCACATAAGGCTGCTTTTAAGGACACAATTTTCCCTCCTTTTCTGTTGTGGGGTTTTTTTTTAACCCTCTCTTTCCTTGTCCACCTACATGAAGCTCATTCTGGCAACTTTCCTCCTCTTTTGGCCAGGCAGGAGGAAGCAGGGTGGAAAGGGAGGAATTAACAGCTGTCCTTTAGGCTTCAAATCAATGCAGCTCCTTAGCAGGCTGGCAGTGTGAGCTCAGTCATTAGGAAAGCTGCTCTTTCATTCAGGAGGCAGCCTGAGCCAACTCTCCCCAGTCCAGGACCAAGGAGTTCAGGCCTTTCCAGCTTGTAGGCCCATTGCAGCTGGCACAGGCTCCTCTTCCCAGTGTTTCATTTCTGCAGTCTGCTGGAGGACCCTGCTGGCACGAGAGATGAGTCTGCCTCAGGAAACGAGCAGCATTTTGCACTGGGTGTGCTTGAGTTTTCTCCTCATCATAAAAGCCTCCTTCATCTGAGATTGGAGTGGATGTAGGATGGAGATCAGGACTTTCCTGTTAGCAAAGCTCTGATTTGAATGGGTTTTTTAAGAAAACAAGCTGGAAGGGTGCTAGACATTCCCTTAGGTGCTCTTAGCACCATAGCTGTCCTTGACCTGCATGGGCAGTGCTGCCCCTAGGGGTAGGGTTGGCGAATACCTGAAATCTCATTTGTGAATAATAGCACTCGTGTCCCAAAATCTTCCTCTCTGGTGCCTCATTCTGCTGCTTCTGATCAGGAGAGTCGCAATTCGTTTGTGAGCGTGAACAGAATGTCACTACCCTGGTTTACAAGGGGTAGTGAAAGAGGTTTGCAGCAGCAAGGGGGATTTTCTGATGTCTCCAGGGAGAATTTTACAGATCTCCCAGTGTTGGTACTAGAGAATCCTTTTGGTTTGTTTGAGGAGACGAGTGTTGTCCACAGCTATGGGACAGGGAGACAGCAGGCCTCGTTTAGCTGCAGGAAGCTTGGTGAGTGGGAGCAGTGCTTTTCTAAGGTGTTTTGTTGTTTTCTTGATGAGTTTGGGTATCTAATACCCATTTATTGCCTCACAAGCCTCCTGGCACAACTCTTGTGCTTGGAAGAGCTAACGCTGCTGGAAGATGATAAACAATAATGCCATTTGCTCCTGGTTGGCCTTCCCTGACTTGGACGGGCTGTGGGTGAAGGTTGCTGCTGCAGATGCATGGAGTAGCAGGGCAGTTCTGATTCCTATTAGCAGCTCACCAGAAGTTTTTATGGAAGGGAGAATAAAAAAGCAAAAAGGCCTCCTATTCTTTGCAAGGGCTGAATTGGTTCTGCAATTGTCATTGCAGAACTGAGTGCACTAAAATGCACCAGGACATTCTTTCCATCGACTTTCCTACCAGCAAGCCTGCTGCTGAAGCATTAGGGTAAAACTAAAGCACTGGGGGGCAGGGAGAAGAAGCAGCCTTCCATTTATGGACCAATAGGGTCTCCTCAGTCTTTAGTCTGCCTTGTTCTCTTATTTGCTGTCTGCATTGCTTATTTCTGTTTCCCTGAGTACTTCTCACAGTTCTCTTAGCTCATTTGTGTTTTAATCTTCCTGATTTGTCTGCAGCCCTGGTTGCTGTAATCTCTGCAGGTCACTGTGCAGTCTGCATGTTTCTTACTCCGTGGCTGTTTGCTGCCATCAGCACATTTGATCGTGGTTGAATTTACATCAAAGAAGCACCTGACAAAGAAGCAGACCTGATAATAGGCTCTGGTTTCTTCTCAGCAACCCAAACAGGTAGATGCGAACAAGGGAGCTCTGCTGGGATCACAGGGGAGTTCATGCTCTACTTTCAGCATGGCTTGCTTTGCTCTCCTGCCTGATGGAGCCTGGCAGACCCTGCTGCCGCTGCGGGCTCCCCCAAAGAGAGCTGCCACTGGAAAAGAGGAAAGCAAGGCAAAGGAAGGCCTTTCCTCCTGTGAAACAAACGCATGGGAAATCCTAATTAGCTGGAGAGAGCGGGGAGGAAAAGATGCTTTGGCTGTTGCTATTGTAGCTGCAGAAGTGCAGCTCACAGATTACAGCTGCAGCCATGGTGTGATTGTTCCCTGCTTCTTCAGGGTTGCTCGAAGAATAGGCTGATAAATTCACGACTAGCTTCTCTAGCAGAACACTTCAGCTGAAGTGTCTAAATAGGGTCTTTGTGTTCGCTTTTGTACAGTTTATACTCCCCAAACCATTTTCCCTGCCTAGAGCTGGCTGTGAGCAACTGATTATTTCTTTTAAATAATGGTCGTGCACAGTTACATGTGGTCATAGGTACAAAATGGTTGGTATGTAACAATGTCTGCCTCCAATTCTAGGCTTCTCTGAGACACCAGATGCCCTTCAGGTGCCCTTCAGAGACCTCTGTGCCTTAGGAAGAGGTGCTGGGTAGGAGCTAACATTGCACAGCTGGGTCAGCCTGCTCGGTGGGGATAGCTGCATTGCTACGGGTTGGCGTAGCAATCTAGAGATCAAGTCCCCCGTTTCTGGGTTAACCACAGTCAAAAACCACACTTAAAATGTGCTTTTCCTCGGTTATTCTGGGTGATAAACTCAATATGAAATGAAGCTATTGAAAACAGATTGCCTTAACCCTTTTCAGCAGAGCATGATTCCCCGGTAACAGAAAGTTATCTGTGGGTGGCACAGGGGTGTCCTGGAGTGACTGTGCCAGGTTGCCTGTTCACTCCTGCACGACAGGGACACACGGTGCCCAGAATGCTCTCCAGCTCTCCCAATGCAGCCTGCGCATCCTGCTGCAAGAACGGAGTCCCAGCACACAGCGATGCTCAGCAGCTCCTGTCTCCATGCACCTGAGGTGAAGGCCTTCAGCACTCACAGCCAAGCAGCCTCTGTCCCCCTGCACTGCAGCCAGGTCTGTTATTTCCCCGATCCCTCTCTGAGCACGCAGCAACTCAGCCGGCCCCTCTCTCCTTCCCTGCTCCCCGTGGGGACCTGCTGAGGTTCCCATTGCACCCACGGTGGCAGCCCTGCTGCGGGGAGCGAGGCAGAAGGTCATGGCAGGAGCACGGGGCGTGGGAGGGGAGGCAGGAGCAGGGCTCTGGCAGCAGGCTGCGACTTGCTGCCTCTCCGAGCTCATCCCCAGCGCCGCGCTGGGAGCCGTCCCTCCTGCCTAGCGCGTTTTGCTCCCGTTCTCCCCCACCCCTTTGCCTAGGATTACACGGTGCTGGGGTGTCTGCTCTCGGGTGTGGGACTGAAAACTGGTCAGACCGACCCGCAGCAGATGATTCACCGGCTGCAGTTCGGCCCTCGCTTTGTTCCCATGGCGTCTGTTGGCAGCTGGCAATTTTTACAGCCGTGATTGTTGTCATCCTGCATGGTGCTGTGCCAGGAGACCCTGCTGGGCAGCAGGGACTTGTTGCAGCCGCCCTCCTTTCTGCAGGCAGTCCTGGGGGTCCCGGTGACCTGATCTGTGGTGTCCGGGCTTTCTGGAACCCATTTTGAGGGCAGAGGAGATTGCATTGGAGTTACCCTGAACAAATAGGGCCGGTTTGAAAGCACTGCGGTGCTGGAGGACACAGCTATGGGTTTACCTGAGGAAAGGAAGATGTTCTGGTTCTCGTGGAGAGCTGCAGGGCAGGTGTCCTCCAACAGAGGAAAGGTGCCCTCAGCCCTGAGATCAGAGCTCGCTCCCAAGCCCTGCTGAGGGCTGTGCTGAGAAACGACCATTGCGATGTTGGTACAATCTCCTAGCAAGCTTGCAGGGCTTCAAGGCCTTTTTTCCTCTAACAAATGCAGGCCTTGGCGCAGGCACAAAATCCGTGTCATCCCCGCTTGCACGGGGAAGGGAGGCGTAAAGGCAGCACGTAGAGAGGGCTGTGTGCCAAGCTGCAGGAGGAGAGGGGAGAAGCGGGGGAGGAAGCCCAGTGAATGGGGGGAAAAGGAGAGGAAGCACGAGGGGAAACGGTCAGGAGGGAGCTGCATGAGGTGGGCAGTGATGGTGGGGAAGAATGGAAGGAAATCCTTGCAGAAACAGGCGATTTAACGCCTGCTCCTTCTGTTGGCTTGGTGACGCGCCTTCCCCGGGCAGCCTCTCCAGGTTCTGAGAGGAGTCGGTGGGTTTTTGGGATGAGTGCACTGGGACAGGGAAGATGGGCAGAAAGCCCTGCGGCCACAGCTGTGTCCTTGTTCCTTCTCGCCTGCTTTGTAGGGGCGTCCAGCGGCTAAGGCAGTCGCTTACAAAAGGAGAGGAGCTCTGGAAGCAGAGCTGCCCGGAGAGGAGACGCGGGATGTGCACAGGCACGAGGCGGGCAGCCCCCAGCCCTGGAGCCAGAGGAGCTCCACGACGCATTACGTGTGGCTTTAGGTTTTCCCCCTGCGCGGTGTCTTGCCGGCTGCGTTTCAGCCTCGTCCGCGCATCCCCGAGCCGGGTCCGCGTCTGCCAGGGCGGAGGGAGGGGAGGGGAGGGGGGGCGGATCCCATGAACTGACCGCGGTGCCTGCTGCACGTAGGGCCGAAGGGCTGAGGGCTCCCGGCTGCGGCCGCCTGCGGGGCCGCACGAGGCGGCGGTGCGGAAGGTATCGCTCGCTTCCCGCTGGGATTTCATGCCCTCGACGGAAGCGCGTGCCGCGCATTAAAGGCGGCCCGATCCCGATCCCTGCCCGCTGCTCCTCTGCCCAGCCGGCCGTGCCTTTTTGCGAAGGGAAAGGAAAATAGCCGGCGTTTATTTTAATCGTTTATTGTATAATATAAAACTACAAAAGTAAGACTGCTCATTTCCATGTACGTTTGTCCAATTGTTTTTGATTACAGCCCATACCTACATGTGAATACAGTAATCTGGTTTCAGATGTATATGTCTGTAATATTGCATAGAAAAGGCACAGCTCTAAGGTCTGTGGGAGGGGGAAGGGGAAGTACAGCCTTTTTTTCTTTTTTTTTGTCTTTTTCTTTTTTATTCGACACTAACAAGCCCTGTTCAAACACCCATGCATTGAACATGTCACACTATTTACACCTTTTCCAGAATCTTGGCCTTTACGGACGCCTGTATGCATTAGGTGGGAGTTGAAGGGGGTTGTATCAGCGATTGTATTGTAAGAGGATCCAGAATTGCATCAGGTTTGGTTGGGTTTTTTTTTTTAATTTTTTTTTTTTTTTTTTTTTTTTTCAGGAAAAGAGAAAGTGCTTAAAAAGAAACCCCAAAAAAACGAATTTATTGAAAAACGTTCAGTCTTGTTAATGAACAGAAGCACTGAAAGCAACTTGCACAGAAGCAGGATACCAAAACCTGATGGGGTGGGGGGAACCCAAGCAGCTGCCCCTGGTGCCAGCTCACCGTGTGCCAGGGCAGCGAATGCCCCAACAGCCAGCTGTGCCTTCGTCACATTGGTGTTCACCAACCCAGGCTGTTATCATGCAGCACTGAGGGGGGAGGAAAGAAAAAAAAAAACCAAAAAAACCCTCTCCTGAAGTCCAAATTTCTTCTTACAGTGTTTTGTTTTGTTTTGTTTTGCAGATTTCCAGCAACCGGACCCATATTAGAAAGAGTGAGGGGGGAAAAAATGTCCTGTGACCCATCCCTGTCCTGCCTGCAACTCCATTGGTTTGCTCTGAATCTGGCTCCCATACCCTTGTTCATACAGATTTACATTCCTACAAGAGAATACATTCCTACCATACATTCTGTACATGTTACAATCCAGATGTTGTTAGCTTCACAATAAAATAAATATATTTACAGAAGGAAGGAGAAAAAAAAAAAAAAGAATAAATAATTTATGAAAAAAAAAAAGAAAAAAAAAAAGAAACTTCAAATCCAAAGCTCTTTTATTCTGCTCCCCTCTTGTCACTTCATTGCACATTAATGTCACTCTCCGTGCCTGGCACAGGGCTCCTGCTTGTTGGGACCTGGGCTGCAGTGCTGCCTTGTGCGGGGCGAGCTGTAGTTGGTGCTCATCCCCTCTTCTGTGAGCACAAAACTGCAGCGAGCTGCGCCTGAGCAACGGCACAGCGCTCCCCAAACAGCATCTATGCGAACTTCTGCCTAACATATGGTGTTTGTTTGGCTGTGTAAATAACCCCCAAAAAACAAGGGCAGCTCCGGCGTGCTCCCAAGTGGTTTTTCACCACGGTGATGCGAGCACGAGGCGCGTTGTGGTGTGAGATGGCTGCTGGTGCTGCGTGCCTCCAGGTCTGTGCAACGGGCGCCGCTGCGTCCCCAGCGCTGCTCTGAGAGGGGCTGAGCTGCTACGGGGGGCTGCGGCTGGGCGAGGGCCCTCCTGCTGCCGTGGTCCCTGCGCTGTGCTTGGTCAGCACCTGCGGTGGAAGCGATCACCTACGTGTCGAGTCCGCCGGATCCGTCAGCATCGCTGAGTTTGGTTCGGAAATAAAGGAAAGCAAACCCTCCTCAGGCCAGCTGCCCCCAGCCCCGCTCTGCAGGCGGAGGAACGCAGAGGCGGCCGGTGATCGGACGTGGTGCCTTTTGCTTCCGTCAGGAGTTCCTTCATTGCAAAACGCGTTTGCTTCTACGCTGTCTGCGTGCAGATCTATGCTCTAGCTACCTATCTCTACGCTAATAAATACACGTGGCCTGGTTTAAAGTGCCAATTTATAGAAAGCCGCCTCCTTCCGAGGCGAGCGAGACCCAATTTTCATCCATGACAGGAAGGGAGCAGAGCTGACTGAATATTGCCAAATGACGTCAAACATAATTTAAAATTTCTTAAATAAATATAAAAGTTATTCCTAAAGAAGCCATAGGCATGTCAACAATATAGGTTGTAACCGGCGCTCAACAGCTAAAGTACCATCAGAAAACTAAAATGCCACAGCGACTTCAGCAACAGGCATGATACATTGCAAACGTTTTGTCTTTAAATTAAATGTACACCACGACGAACCCAGAGGATGCAATCGGTGCGGTAATGAGAAGACTTGTCAGGTGTGCCGGGGGGGGGACCATGCATAGAAAGCTGTGTCTATTTGTTGTAAAACAGGTCTATAAAGTGTAAAGCAGGTAACGCAGTCGATACGAGAAACCAACCCTATACGAGATGCCGAGCGATGTAACGCGACTGGCTCCAGTTTCAACAGCAATGGATACGAAAGCGAGTCCGTCCAGTGCAGGTAAGAGATGAGCTTCACTGCAGTAATACTGAAGTTGCCTTTTTCAGCACTTAGCACAGTGAGGTGGGGCGAGGAAAGGAGAGGTGCTCCAAGAAAGGGCCCGCGGGTGCTGCTGGCACGGAGCGGCGGCACCGACCCCTCCGGAGCCAAGGGGGGAAGGAGAGCAGCGCCGGCACCGCCGGGTGCAGTTCCACAGCTGGTTCCTGCCGACCGCTCCGTGTTGGACGAGGACATGGCTCTGAGTTTGGGGATCACAGTAGTGCGCAGTGGGTGCAGCAGGGAGCGGACGCTGGCGGGCTCCTGCAGAAGCAGCTGCCAGCCCTTTCTTAAAGCACTTGGTTTGTTTTGTTTGCATTCAGGGAAACCGACCGCAGGCTTATTTGATCTAATTTTCTCTTTGCACCATACACATATAAAACGTTACAACTCTGTATAAAAGTACAAGTGGTTCTTGTACATCTGAATTATGCAGGAACTATGTGAGCAAATCCTATCAAAATAGCTATTTTTTTTTTTTCCGTGTGTATAAACAGCATTTGTTTTTAGAAAAAACAATATCATAAACTGCAGAATCTGTACAAAAATATAAAATAAATTTGGGCAGCAGTTTCTGAACAGCCATGTAAATGCAACACTTAAAGAGGAGCGGGTTAATGCCTCCAAAAGGCTGAATTGCTGAGTCAACCTCTACAGGGCTAAAATGGTATTGAGATTATCTAAATAATAATTCTTTTGTTTTTTTTTTTAACCTCTCGCAATAAAACTTATAGAAAAAATAGACAAATATGCACATGCAATTTACAGCTTTCCCCAACATAATCCTTGTGCTTAGCTTGTACAATTTCTTTTTTTTTTCTGTAATAACATAACATTGTCTACAATACGTATTCTTTCCTCTACCGGATATTCGGTCTTCCTTGAGGAACCACTTGGAAAAAAATACATTAGAAGTGGTCGTACATGGATGAAGGCACTCCAACTCTGCTTGAAGCAAAAACTAGTGTGATCCTTTTCTTTTCCAAAAAGGCAAGCAAGGACGCATGCACAGTGCTGTGAATCGGGTGGGAGGGACGATGGAAATACTACCGAGTGTATATACTGGTACTTAAACGAAAAACATAAAATAAAAAGAGAGAGAGAGAGAGAGTTGCTCTATTTCTACGCTTTAAGACCCAACAAGCACCTCCATGATGTGATCCAGTTCTGTGAGGTCCATTTTGAAAGGCTGATTTGGAGTTACTGGCTGGCTGCTGTACGGCGCCAGCGTCTTTAGGAGCTCGTCCGCCGAGACGGGCGCCATTTTGGAGGCAGCCCCCGCGGCCGACGTGCAGGGGTCAAAATCATACATGGACGTGTCAATGTCAGCGAACAGAATGTCATCCAGGGTCAAGTCTGTGAGGAAACCTGTGGAAGTCGTGATCTCGAAGTTGCCAGGGAGCGGCTCCATGAGTTTGGACTCGGCCGTTCTGCTCTCCGCGACGCCCTCGGGCTTGGGAACGCTGGACTCGCAGGGGTGGGCTTTAGAGTCACCGGCGGCTGATTCGGCTGCTACTGCTACTGCCTCTGCGGAGGTAGGTGCGGGACAGAGCTCCTCGATTTCATCCAAGGCTGAGGAGAAGCTGTCCTTGACTGGCTGGAGAGCAGGAGGTGGTAGTTTCGTTGGACCGTCGTGCTGGACGGTCGGGGAAGTGCAAAAAGTGTCGTCCTCGAGCAAAGAGGCCGGGGTGAGGCAGGACTCCAGGGGCGTAGTGCTTACCAAGTCAGTGGGGAGCAGGGACGGGGAGGCGAGGTGGCTGAAGGCCGGCTGGGCCTCGCGGAAGTTGTCGCTGAGAGGGTCGGCGGGCTGCGACGCGGTCACAAACACGGGCCTCAAGCTGCCTTCTTGTTTGAGTTCTTCCTGGATTCGCCTCAGCATGTTGTTAATTAAAACTGTCTTTTGCAAGCTTGGCTCGGTTAATGGCCTGTGGTTATAAAGTTTCATAAGGGAAATGTTGAAGATAGTCTGACGCTGTAAGGTGTACGACACCTTAGAGGGACCGTCAGTAGGAGACACCACTTTGCCTTCCAACCCATCTTCATGCTCGTCAAACTTCCGCTTTCCTCCTTTCCCCAACATATATCTGAAAGGAAGGAGAAGGCACTGATGAAGACAGCGAAGCTGAAATCCGCTCTCCTTTTCCACCCAAGCAGTTACCCAATCAATCCCTGGGCCCCGTCCAGGTGTGGGCAGCCCGGACAAACCGTGCCCTCCTCGTCAGCCCGAGCACACAGAGCTGCCTGCTTAAAACTCACCCTTTGCTCACAGTGGGGAAGCAGAAGCAACCTGAACTCCGTGCTCCGTCATTTTTAAGAGTGGCTATGCTGGCAAATCCTAAGCAGGAACTAGCGCAGCACCTGGAAAACTCCAGCCCCTGTGTACCTGGTGGCAGGTTTTCCCCTGGCACATGTGGCAGAGCGCGTGGTCCCACGTATCTGCAACCTACAGACTCTGTTAAATGCACCTTAGAATTTCCTGACTGCTGCGGGAGCACTGCTGGGCATAGAAACACGGCACGCTCTTCTTGCAAGTCATTTCCCTTTTCGTTCGAAGCTGTGTTCATGGGGGGAAGGGGAGCGAGGCTCAAGCAGTCATGCACTGAGAGAGTCCTCAGGGAACAGAGAGATCTCAGTGAAGTCTGGGAATTGAGCTTCTCGGATAGGTGCATCTCTGACCTCATGGGTTTATTTAAATGACTGCATACGGCCTACATGTCTGGAGGAGGAAATGCAGGTATTTCCTCCATCACAGAATTAGACAAATTACAGACAAAGAAGAAGAGCTGCCGGGTCATTTACCCTGATGGCCAAGTTAATTCTATGCAAGCTTTGCTGCCGCAGTGGGGGCCCCAGAGCCAGGCAGTGCAGTGCATGGGGTGTGGGGACACGGGCACCTCCATCACAGAGCCCTCCAGGTGCAGGGCAGCCACGGGGCACCCAGCTGAGGCACAGCCCCAGCCCCACACTGGGAGCAGGCCCGTGGAAGGAAGGCTGCATGGCACAGGGCTCAGTGGGCACCGCTGCCTGCTGCAGCGTGGGAGGGCTGTGCTGGTGGGGGCAGGAAATGCTGTCACACGGCAACTGAGATCCTCTCCTCAGCCCCTCCTTCACCACCTCCAGACGGGCTTCCCAGAGGCCCCGGGTGGCTTCTCTTCTCCCAAATCAAAGCATGTTCCGTGCTCAGGATGGTGACAGGCATAGCCCCATGTTGTGCATCTGACCAGGAGGGGACTAGAGAACCAGGAGCTTCATTACACAGCTGCCTCCCAGCTCTCATACAAAGGCACAACATGCCTTCCTTATTGGAGCACCACTCTCAGTTCCCCCAGCAGGACCCATGCCCACAGAATGACTGAGCCTGGCGGGTGTGAGGCGTTTGGTCACTGCAACCCAGTCAGACAAGCAGACAGCACTGCTAAGGACATGCAGACAGCCACAGGAACGTCTGCGGAGCACCGAAAAGTGAAGAGCCCTCACAAAATGGGAGAGAGGGGAAGGGGCAAAAAAAAGTCGGGGTTCCGATGGAAAAAGGGATGAGGTTCAGAAAGCATTTGCTGGGATGCAAAATCCCAAATCAGATTGGGTGAAGTGAGCCTTTTCTGGTTAAAAATAAGTCCCGAACCCAGATCATTTTCTAGCATATTATGCAATTAAAAAAAGCAAGGCGGGGGGAGGGAGCAGCGCGGCGGAGCTGAGGAACAGGCAGGCTGCGATCCAAGCGCCTTGGCCAGCTCCCAGCAGTCCCCGCGCCTGGAATCTCGGGTGAGCAAAACCTCTGAAATGTAGCACTACTGCCGGGCTCTGGTTTTTCTCCGCTCCCTGCTGTCACTTCCACGGCCTACTCCAGAGCCACGCACGTGTGCCGGGGCTGCTGGGGAGGATCTCCTGTTCGAACGTTCACGGCCAACACGCCTCCTGTGACTTCCGACAAACACGGCAAGAACGGCAGCTGGAGGCCAGCGCGAATCCCAGGTCCTACGGGGCTCCAGCACACGCTAAAGGAGCCGTGGGTCACGAAGAGGGCCGGCAGCTTCCCACCCCTTCCTCCTCTCTCCACCCCTGAAAAAAGACAGACTCTGTCCTACAGACATACCGACGTCCCATCCGCAACGTCCTATCTATTTAAAGAGAGATTTGTTAATGGCTCGGGGACTGCGAGAGTTTTGCAGCTTGTCAGGCTGCGCGAGGAATGTATGAAAATATTCATTGCACAAAGCCAACCTTTTTCCCCAGGATAAAGAAAACGCCGTTGCGGTGGCCATGCTCTGCTCCCTACGTCGGTTACGGGATGGTATCACTGGGGACACATCTCTGAAGAGCCCCAGTGAGTCGGCTGCTGCCGCGCGCGCCCAAGATGGAGGTGCTGGTACAGCTGGACATTTTCTAAGCCGGCCAACAGCGATGGGATCATCATTAGTAAACACAACGATAAGCTCTCTACGACGTGTTCCAGGAAGCTCAGAAATGATTCAAGGTTTCCTGTACGTATGACTGTCACGCTTTCACATCTCACTCGATCTTCACGTAGCTGAGCTCAGAGCTTGTCCTTTGAAAAGACAAAATGGACCAGGAGAACTCAAAACTTAACCTCCAGCGCAGTTTTCAGTGCTCTTCTCCCCAGAAAAGCTCTCTAAAAAAACATTTAACTATTAAAGGCACAAAGCAGGACTGCAGCCCGAGCAGGAGGGTTTTATTCTCCCAAATGGGGGCTCAGACGAATTCCACTGCGCTCCCAGCTTTGTAGAGTTCTACTTTATTCCCTTCTTCTCCGGCATGCAAATGGGAATTGTAAAAACATTTTCCTCCAGCTTCCATAAATCACTTTACTCACTCCAAGCGAAGCAAGGAGGCCGTATCTTTTCAGACCAAGTGATGCAAGTAAGAACAGACATGCTTTGAGCCTTGCAAGCTTTTCTCTGGATCGCTGTAATTGTGCAGTTTCGGACTGCCTGTTTATTCTTTACAGTTCAAACCACCTCCTCCTACCAGCAGTTTCATGCCTACGCTAGAGAGATCCCTTTTGTACATCTTAAGGCATCACACGCCATAAAAACAAGCTGCAAGCTCAAACATCTCCAACAAAACTCTCACTGCTAAACCTCTCCAGCCAGAGCTCCTGCCAGGAGAATGAAGGCACTGAACTTACAGAGCTGGCTGGGTAAAGACTGGGGTGAGAAGAGACTGGATTGCACCCTTCCAAGCATGGGACGTCAGAGTCCTATGGAACAGGGACAGGGGTTTGGTACACAAGTTAGTTTTGAATGTTACTGGGGTGTGTGGAACTCGAAAGCTGAAGAAAGGCCATGGAAAAAAATGAATTTATCCAGAGAAGGGGGGTGGGAAAGGAGTTGGAGATTTTCCCCAACATTATCCACCAGTTGGCCCCAGCGTTGGAAGATCCAGACCCAGAAGCTGAACCATTGTTGCTGAGAAAGATGCAGTTTGCTTTTTTGTCCATTTAGGGTGATTGCACGTGCCTCAGAGCCAGAGAAATGCTAGCATTGTTTGGGAGCTGGCTTCTCTTAATTGAAAAACAAAAGTCATATAGACATATTTTTCATTTGCGTGTCATTCAGTGTCCTTCCATTGGTGCTCTTCAGACTGAGCTGGGAGGAAATACGGTTGGGGCTCAGCAGAAGAGATCATCAGCTTGGATCAACTGCACAGAAAAAAGCTTGCGTGATGCCTGGCTGCTGACAGCCCTGGGCTCTGCAAGAAGAGGGTTGCACACATCGAGGCAGAGATGCTGCATGCAGCAGTTTACTCCATTAGTCCTTGTTACTGCTGGGCTGTTTCTAAAGAAGTCGTTATTAATTGAGAATTTGGCACAGGGATGCACTGGATATATTGGGAAAAACGAAGAGAAGAAAAAAAAAACAAAAGAGGGAAAGGTGATCATTAACGTTAACTCACAAAGGTTTTTAACAGCTTTGTTTGAAATGCCTCTCAAGGCTGAGGGCTCTTCTTGGAAGTCACTTCCACAGCCCACAAGAGCCCCGGCTCACTGGGGCAGATGAGAAGGAAGACAAAGAAAGAGGAAATGGGCACCAAGAGAGACAGAGTCTTCAAGAAGTTGCTCTTCCACCCCATCAGCCAGCCCAGAGGACAAGCAGGTGAATTTGGCAAGGCTCACTGTTAGAACCAGCAGCACATTGCTCACAGAGGTGAACGCGCCCAACTGCAGAGCCCACAGGCAGCCAATCTCCCCATGTCTGGAGCACGGAGCGTCATTTCCTTCTCCTCCATCCCTTGCTCCTCATCCTTGAGGGCTGTGTTGGCTGAATCCTGTCCTGATGGTAGTCAATGAGAGTTTTGTTACAGCCTTCAGCAGGATCAGGATTTGGCACCGGGAGCTGCAGGACCGAAATAAAAAGGTCTTTTGTGCCAACTGGGTTGGACTGGCAAGATGAGGGCCGGCTCCTCAGTGCTAGCAGAGGTGTGTGCACCCCGCAGATATCACTGAGCTGCCCAGCCCAGCCTCAGGGAGCACCTGAACCCACAGCCAGCTCCCACGGCTTCCAAGCATCCATCCTGGAGAGCTGGGGAGGCAGAGCAGTACTTCCACCCACCCCTCAGTCTCAATGCTGATCTTTAAATCCTGGCACGGCAGCATCCCAGGGAGCTGTACAGCACGTACCATGCAGCAGCACACGGCTACACTCAGCGTACTGCAGCTGGCTCATACTTTGTGCACTGACGGGGCTTTCGTGTGGGTGGGGTTTCTTTTTTGTTTGTTTGTTTGGTTTGGTTTTTTTTTGCAAGGCTGCTTCTCAGGATCTGATGCAGATTTTACTTGTTTGAGTTGAATGCGCCTGCGCTGCCTGGCTGAAGGGAGGGCTCCTGACGAGTGCTGCTGGGTAAGGATCTGTTCTAACAGCAGAGGTGAGCAGAAGACACAAAGGCCAACCCTATGCGAGAGGCAGGGGGAAGAGAGCCGTGCCAGGCTTTGTGCCCCTCCAGAACCACGCTCTCTCATCTGTGGGGGTTGTTTTCCCCAACACACGCATTTTATATTAATTCTGGATGGGTTTTTGTTTTGTCTCTTGAACAGAGCGAGGTTTAATAAGCACTTACAAAACTCTCCTTCAGAGCTGCATTAAAAAATTGGCCTCCTGGGTAGCTCTGTGCTTCCAGAGAGCACAGGGAATTGCTTTCATGTTCGCAAGCCTTCAGCACACGGCCGCTGGTGCCAGCAGTAGCTGTCAGTGGCGGCTATTTCTCCCCTCTCCCTGCAGGCTCAGCATCAGCACCCACCCACCCACCCTGGAAGGCTGCGGCAGAGCGACAGGCCTTTCCAGGCTCAGGCTGAACTGGAAATAAAGGCAGCCACGGTGGGCGATGCTCAGGGGTTGGTCTAAGAACCGTTTAGCACAAGGAAAGCCGGCACAGGGCAGCAGAAGCTTGGATGCTGGCGGTTCTGGAGCGCGGCCCCTCTGCGGTTTGACTTGGGTGCTGGCAGCCCAGAGCCCCCCAGGCCCTGAAGGAACGTCCGTGTTCATCAGAAAGTAAGGTGAAGCCTTCCTTAGCAAATAAGCCATGCAATTATAAAGGCAGTCAATAGCGTAACGCCAGCCAACGTGTTCCAGCGATATTTTGAAACTGTAATCTGATCCTACTGTTTCCATCCTCGTGCCTTGCCTGCTCTCCCTTGTTGCATACTGTACTATTTGAGGCCCAGAGGGCAGAGCAAGCTCTGGCTGTTTGTTAATGATCAGAAACTGCGTTTTGAGCACAGCTCTCCGTGCGCCGCCCACACGACTTTCTTGATAGTTTGTGAAGCTCTCAGCCTGCCCAGGCCCTGTTAGAAGGCTCTCCGGGAAACAAAAAAGCCAGCAAAACAACCAGAAACACAACTCGCAAGCACCACTTCTGCCTTCACTTTCCAGCTCGTTTCTACCAGTGCTAAAAAAAAAATAAATGCAAAGCCGCAGTCTAAGGCAACCTCCAACTCTGCAGTGTGTTAAGCCTCGCAGGAAACATATGCTTCTATTAAATTGGAAACAGTTTCTAATGCTGTCAGTTTGCTAAATGTAACACGTTCTCTTGGAAGGAGCCGAGCGGTTCCCATGTTTTTGACTAACTGCACGCACTGAGCAGAGCGCGGCCGATAAAGCTGCAATAAATATAAGGCTCCAATAAATATAGCTTAGGATAAATTACTGCCTCATTAAGTAATTGTTTGGAAAAAGGAGAGCAGGTTTTCTAGATTATAGCCATGTTATTAAGGGTGTTTATAATATTAAGAATTCTATCGGGGTAGCAGAACTTAATACAAGTTTAAATCAGACGGGCACTTGTTAGCTCGTTAAGCCATTAAAATCTGCCCTGGCAGAAGCAGGAGGGGAACAAGACGATGCAGGTTAGCTGGGAGCACCGCAGCCCAGCAATGAGCAACGAGGACAGCTTGTTTCAGCCCAGGGAGCAGGTAGAGCTGCTAGGCAGCATTCTGAGGCTGGAAAACCTTTGCCCAAAACAGCTCTTATTCACGTGCAAGGCGGTGGTGTTTACTGGAAAAAGGGATTGCCCAGCAGAAGACGCATCTATTGCAATGTCTTACACCAGCTTGACGTGGGCCTCGGTGGCGGGTTGCCACTGGGAGCCGTGGCTCTAGGGGTGATCACAGGGCACGATGCCCTCTGTGCAGAGCCCATATTCAGCCCCCCCCCCAGGACAGGATTTGCTGCAGCCCCACGTTTTGCAGAGCCACCCCATCGAACCAGCCAATGTTCTTCTCAAATTCAGGCTCCACGTGGCAGCCCTAAGGAAGCCGCCAGGCCTGCCAAGCACAAATCAAGTCATACAGCACTGGGTGCACGCAGGCTGAGCGGCTCTGTCTGCTGCCAGTGTCAAAAGCTGAAGGATTAGGATCTGCATAACACACCTGGGCATCAGTAGTAGGAAATGAGAGCCACGGTAAATAAAACCAGGCACTACATCAGGCCAGCTTCTCAGACTCCACTACGGGATGAGCTGATGATTCAGTAGGCTCTGCTTGCAGACACCTGAAAAGCACTCGAGCGCTTCCACGCACAGGCCAAGCAGCTCACCCAGCTCTGTGCTGCTCCTGGCACTGGGGCCCCTCGCCCAGCAGCTGCCAGTCCCACTGGCACGCCAAGGCTTGTGTGCAGGGAGAAGCAGGGCCAGCATCTCGTGGAGCAGCAATGAAGATGGCTGTGCACCGCTCAGGGCCCTGGCTCAGCCACAAGCCAGCCACCTTCCTCCTCTTCCCACTTCAGAGCCTGCAGGGCAGAGCGAGAGCATGGCTGGGAAGAGGCTCCTTGTAAATCATATTTGAAACAACCTGAAAGAGCTGCTGCGGCCACCAGAAAGTGACACATTAACAAACGCACATTCCCTTTTCCCTGCTAAGGTTACAAGACACGATGCTACCGGTCAGCCTCTAAGGGAGAAGGATGAAACAGCACAACCAACACATCCCTCCTCCTCAGCAACGCCACTGGAAGCCATAGATCACGGTGATGCTGTGCTGTACGCCACAAGACAGCTCTATTGGCGCACACCAGGGGCCAGCCGGTATTTTTTTGTGTGCTGTAGCCCCATCTCTGCTGGCTGCGTAGTGTAACATTCCCATAAAGGTTAATGGGAGCTGTGTGTTCATCCTAGAGGGACCAGACTCCTTTGTGGATAATAAGAGAGTTTTCCACGTGTACTTATAATTGCTCGGTTAGAGCCCTTGCTTTCGAGCGCATCACCGTGCCTTTTCCCCACAGATAGCTTGTTTTTCCCCCCTCGTCCTCGGCCCTTCATCAACGCACGGGGGAAAAAAAATATCCACACTGCTGCAGAAAGAACCAAACGGTTTGCCAAAAAGTAGGTTATTGCTCTGAAAACAGTGCTGAATAAATTATCACAGTCAAACTGAAAAGCAGCGAACCGGGGGGAGGGAGGGGAAGAGCAAAAACCTCCAAAGAAACGTGTGCTGCAAAATGCAAAGCACATCCCAGCAATGACAAGTCATTTTAGTTCCCGGCCTGCAGGTTTCGTTTCGACAATTCGTTTCTTGCTACTGAAAGTTAAAAGAGGCAAAAACCAAAGATTAGAACAGAAGGCATTTCCCTGGCACTCCATAAAGCAGCTATGCTGCTCTCAAGTTGCTTTCACTGCTGTTGCTCCAATAAAGGAACGCAGCCCTGCAAACAGTGAATTCAGTGACAAGCGCTCGCTGGCCCCCCATTCTCTTGCAGGGAGGTGGTAAAACTGCAGGACGTTTCTCCACCAATGAGAACAACAACAACAAAGTTAAAGTTTGACACGACAGTTTGCTAAGACAGCGCTCAGTGATGTTATCACGTTGTCTCACCCGTGGCCTTTCAGCCCGGCACGCTGCAGCGCTCGCGTTTGTTGAAACGTTTTCATGTCCGCCCAAGGAACCCTCTGAGAGCTGATAAAGGGAACTTTGGCCAGCCTTGAACTGCTCTCAACGTGCAGCAGCCACGGCCAGAGAGGAAAGGGATTTCATTTTTTACAGCACCTGTTGGACTGCACGATGAAAACGAGCGCACTGAAGCGGTGCCATTCCAAATAGCTCCCAAGCAATCCAGTGTTTTAAGTAATGCATTAGTTCTCAAATATATCACTTTAACTAATACAGGGATGCTCTTCTAACAGCATATTTTAACGGTGTATGTACTGTACTTTGAAGCATGCTTCTCATCGGTCACTTAGTGCAGAATGAAAACCCGATTCCCATTCCAGGAATCAGGAGTGGAAAATACAGAAGGAGATGGGGAAACTGAAACGGAGAGTTCTGAACCTCATTTTGTATTTGACCAGAGCAGCCCATTCCCCTCTCCCAAGAGGTTATGATGCTAGTTTTCCCCACAATTAAACAAGCAGACAAAACACACACACACGACACAGATGTATGACGTGAGTTGCAGCAGCAAGGAGAAGCAGGGAAGCAAGAGGAAGCTCAGCGCTGTGCGACACAGGCATGCACACCAACTCGGTAGTGCCTCCGTTCCTTTGTGAGGCGTTTGTATAATGCCTCGGTTAGGGGAGGAGAGGGGAAGGGCTGCTCCAAAGAGCCAGATGGAGCAGGAGGGTGAAAGAGAGCACGTGCTCGAGAACAGGAGGGGAACCCAAGCGAGTTATCGGGCCCCTGGGACAGCCAGCATGAAAGTCGGCCCGGTCAAAATCCCTCCGCTGGCGGCAGCGTGAGTCACTGCTCCTGCACGGGATGGGCGCATGGAGCAGCACAGCGCTGTGGGCACAGCTCACACGCAGACAGCTCTCTCTCACTGGCACACACGTACACTGGCACACGGAGATAAAGCAAAGCGTTACCACTAGCTGAAAAAACTCTGTGGTTTGTGCATGCACGCCCGCCTCCTATCTTGATGAAATGTGTCTTTTTAAAAATATGCAAACGATATGCGTGCACGTGTACCTATTAAAGCACTTTCTTCCCCTGGTGAAAGGCTGCCTGTAAAAACACACCAAGAGTAAAGGGTTTGTGGAGGCGCCGGAAGATGATGGTGTATTTCTGAATTAGGTTTTAAAACTTCATTTTGCAGCTACCTGAAGTGGAGACAAAGCTGCCTTTAGGCATCTGAAACTAGTCAGACCTGCTGTAGCAGTTGTACAGTTTGCTTCAAATATGCCCTCCACTCTCCTTTCAACCTCCACCCCAACATATATCCGCATAGTTTACCTCCAATCATGGGCGGTTCTTTCTATAGCACAGCTCGCTCGCCCTCACCGCCCGCCTGGCACGACAGGAGGTTTTAAAGGACTGAAGTTAGAGGCAGCTCTGCGGGGAACCTCAGGGACTGCTGAGGAAGGAGCTGATAATTGTTGTATTTCCATCGGGGTGAGCGTGGCTCCAGAGGCACAGAGTTTCTGGGGGAGATCAGGGAGTGAGAGAACAGCTTTACTGACCGCACATCACCCAAGCCAGCTTTTGGGCCAGTCTGTGTCTTCACAACTGGTCAGGGCTCCTTTGAAAAAGGAACTTCTTTCTTCTGCTACTTCCATATACCGCCCAGTTTTAAAAATAACATGGAAGAAAACAACCCACATTTGCACTTTTCTTTTTTGTGTTCTTAACATACTGGAACACATTTTTATTCGAACTTCCCTGGAAGCAGAAGCTGCCAGGTGAAATCTAATACTTCTTACCAACGTGAAAGCAAGGTAAACAAGCTTTGGCTCCTAATAATCACACAAACTGAGGCTCGTGCCATTCAACTCCACTTCAAACTCA